AAAAACAAACTTTCATCCATTAAAAAAACATCGTATTTCATCTTTCCTCGAATTTTTATTCAGTACTTTGATGAGCTGTCGCGAATGATAGGAAGCGTTGTCAAGAACTATTACACTATTCGCATCCAAATTTGGGATCAATATGTTTTCAAACCATTTCTCAAAAATATTGGCTTCTATGTTCTTATGATAGTCAACATTGCAGTTCACATAATTTCCGAAGAATTCTGAACCCATCCTTTACTTCCTTCACAATGCACAATGATTAGTCGCGATCCTTTGTTTGCAGGCATGTATCACATCGCGTCTTGCATACATATGCTTTTTTTTACTATTTTACGTACAGTTGAGAGGGGAATTTCAGTCAAATCTGATGTTGCTTGTAATAGTTTGTTTCCCTCGAAACCAAACTTGAGATGTAGATTCTTATATACATTGAAACATACTCTCTGTGTTTCAATATACAAATTCATTCGAATCCTATTCATTGGTATCTCTTTTTCGCATTGTTCACCATCGCTATTGGAGTTTGCGTTGTTATCACACTCGTTATTACTATTAGTACTTGTCCAAGAACGCCACATTTTAAACAGATAACAAAAATTTTAAGTAATTATAACTTCACCAATATCGAATTTCAATACTCAAATCGCGATCATTTCCTGAACTGAACATTGACAACACGACTCTTCTAACCATCCTTACATTCTATTGGTCACCGTAACATGACTTTAAATTTAATTTTATGAGTCGTCAGCCAATCGTTAAACTCGGATAGTAAAAATTAGCCAATACGAACCGCCAATTCTGCAGTCCACATGGACTATTTCGCTGCCGGTTCATTCCTATGTATTGGTTTGTTTGGCCTTTGAGAGTGCCGCAAACTTTGAATGTTCACAATATCGGTAATTTTGACTATATCATTATGCATAAATCACATTTCATTTCGTTGTCAAGTAGAACATCGTCCAGTTAAATAATTTGATCTTCCAAGAAATGTCGATATCCCTATGAATAATATCCCAGAAATCTTGCCTATTTGATGGGAGAGAGAAATGTTCTGTACTGCAAGTGAGTTTTTCCCTGAACATTATCGGTTGTTATCAAAATTGATTAAATTGTAGCGTGAATAACTGGCAAAATTGATAAACGGGATTTGATTCTGAAGTAAATAATTTTGAACAAGGCATTGGAGGAATGCAAGAAAAAGTTGAAACGTATTGGAATATCATGAGAGAGCGTGCCTGAATTGTTCAAATAAGTTATTGGTAATGTAGAAGAATCTGCGGAAAACTCGCTATACGAATACGAAGACTCCGTTCTGTAGCCTGAGCCTTTAAAGGAAGTAACTCGTTCTCTGACATTTGATTCTGACAGACGCGTCAGTAGTCCTTTTGGGCTCGAATAGACAAAGGAATGTAAAGGTCGTTGTACCGAGGGTGGTCCAGAAGTATCCGGCCCAATAGAGAAAAAAAAAATTCGGAAAAAAATAATTTATTTTTCAACATAATCTCCTTGCAGCTCTACACACTTTTACCAGCGACGTTCAAAAAGTTTGATATCATTTTTAAAATAAGAATTGTCTGGCTCCTCAAAATAACTATTAACTGCCGGCATCACTTTTATAAGTTTAGGAACACAAAATAAACCGACGGGACTGAATCTGGCGAATAAGGTGCATGAGGTAGAAATTCAAACTTCATTTCGTTAATTTTGGTTGTTACCATAATGGATTTGTGAGCTGGTGCATTGTCTTGATAAAACAACAAGCCAAATGCGGCAGTTTTTGCTTGATTTCTTCACCCAAACGTTGCAATGAGTTCGCATAATACTAGCCATTGACAGTTTTCCCTTTTTTAAGATAGTCAATGAAAATTATCCCACGGTCTTCGCCTTCTTTGGAGCCGGTTCTCCCTTCCAATTGCATTGTTTTGATTGTTCTTTTGTCTAGGGTGTAAAGTGATGGACCCATGTTTCATTCATGGTTATGAAACGAAATGAAAGAATTATGCTTTGTTGCTGTGAAAATTTGCTAAACACTCAATTGAAACATCTTAACGATACTGTTTTGCCCGAGTGTGACCAAACGCGGCATCCATCTTGCACACAGATATCTCATATCCAAATTTTCAGATAATATACGATGTACCGCACTTTTTAAAATGCCAACTATATTGCTAGCCCGCGCACTTCCAGTCGACCATCATTCAGTACCGCTTCGTGGATTATCCTCCATTTCTAGAGTCGTCACCTCATTTGGAGGACCCAAATACTCGCCTTGGCAGCTCGAACGGCCTCGTTTGAAGTCGGCCACTCAATATTTCCTGTTGTATACAAAATAACAAACTCACCAAAAGTAGAATCCAGTTCAGCTTTTATATTGGTCGGGCATTTGAAATAAAAGTACTGTACCACATAACGATGACCAATTTTCTCCATTTTCACAAATTCACCAAAAACGTTCGCTATTGATGACTGCCAAACAAATACTAGTAAACGCAGTGTCTTCAAACTTGAAACATATGCTTTATAGATTGTGTGCTTTCTGATACAACCGCCATCCCTAGGTCAGACTGGGTACTTCTGGTACCACCCTGGTACTGAGGTCTCACGATTCATGTGTGACGTTCTTTATGAACGTTATGAAATTCTTCGTTCAAAAATAGCTTCAATAGAGTAACGAATTAACAATGTAAGAAACGGTGAGCTATTTCTGTTACAATCCCGTAAATATATTATCAAAAGATGACTTATATGCAAAGTATCGGGAACAAATAAAACGAGCAGCAATTTTAATTATCGGAATTGGAAATGGCGCTGATGACATCGAAGTGGTAGACGTAGCGAGGTACGTTAAAAATCGTGTTAAATATTAACTTCATTACAAGGTTTGATAATATAATTTACATCTGGATGACAATAACTGCAGCAACAAAAAAACGCATAAATGTATATCATAATTAGTTAATTATGCAGTATTTGGCCATTAGTGATTGTGATTGCGATTGGTCGAACGGTTGCCAACCGAAAAAATGAATTTTATTAAAAATCAATACGAACATTCGCGTGTTTTTAAATTACAGATTGAAGCGTCCACTATAAAAAAGCCATGCGCGAAAAGAGTAAAATGCTCTGCGGACTAATCACAAAGAATAAAAAACACGGACGTGTACAGAAAGGGGCGGTTGAGGGTGGGTTGGTTGCCCCCCACCGGGCCGCGATCGTTTTGTTCTCCTAACTGATTTTCGAACACACACTCATTTGAACAACGGACAAAAGCTAAAAACCAATAGTCCTTCATTTTCATTTATTCACTGGATAGCGTTGTATTGGAAAAAGGTTTTTGTTTGGCGGGAGAAGGGGAGGCAGTGGACCCCCGTTGATTAGTAGCGCTCTGCCAAGTGTGGGGTGAGAATTCCAGCCAGCGAGATTCGGACCGCCGTAATTATCATAATTAGTTTTCAGGAGTGGACGCCGAGCTTCTCGACGCCGCCGGTTGCCGATTCTCTTTTGTCTCTCTTCAGAAATTTATTGTCGAGTTGTAACTAGCTATTACTGTTGAAACTTTCTCGTTAAAATCAGATTCGAAGGTCTCGCGGAATTGGGGTCAGGCTGATGAAGACTCAGAAGTCTGAACTTTTGTTTCTTTATATCCGAGTGGTTGTAGAGATTAGACTGGAACTGTACAATATTGAAGTTGACCTCAGGCGAACCAAACGGAAATATTTTTATGACTCAAAACAATATTAAATACTTCAAGTACTTTATCAGGTATTTCGAAGAAATAGAATGTGGGTCGAAACTATTCAAGGATATTTGGAAATTTATGAAACTAAGCAACAATTCAGATTATTATTATATTTATTGACTGTATTCTGTCAGTATATTATATTATTCAACTGGATTCATATCATCTCAAATAAAATCCCAAGTATCTCATCTTCATTTGAGTAAGAATCAAGTCAGCTCACACAGATATTCTAAAGAATTCTGAGGACTCCTCGTGCAGAGCAGCTGGCTGAATGTAAACCCAATGAGCGATTTAACCTACACCTTTTCAGGAGAATTAAAAACATACACCAATCATCGGCTTTCAGCGACAATCGTTGACATTATTCCCAGTATCAAACTATATCAAGATTTAATGTAGATTGTGATTCACTTTTTGAAACATTTCACAACTCGTTTTAAGAATCTGCAAACAAGCTACACCTACCATAAATTCAAGAAAAATTAATCAGAACGCATTTCAGTTCATTCCAATGAACATGCAGAATGCTAATAAAGAAGTCTGTTCATATGTTTTTCTTATATTATCAAATTCTCCTAAAGTAATATCGTTGCAAGCACCTCATTTTCTATCCTCGAGTTCTGAAATGATTTGCGGTTGTTATCGAATACTTCACGTGTTTCATCAAAAATATCTAGAGGTATTATATCAGGTGATCTAGTGAGCTCCTCTGAGTGAACACGTTTGCCTAACTAGCGGTTTGTGACATTGTCAAACCCGAACGAGTTTTCAACTGATATTAGGTTTATTCATCATGACATCCCTTCAAAATATTTCACCGAAACTTGAGCTAGCGTGAAGAATTGTTTATTTACTTTCACCACTCTAGATACTTTCTGATCACTTTATTAGGTGGGGTACTTCTAACGGTGCCGCGAGATGGAGCCAATGGTCAATGTATCTACTAATTTTAGTCATCAATTGATGGCTGACGACCAGCAGCGGGATTGTTCTCAAGATATACCAGGTCTCTTCCTTCTTTCTTCTTCAAATTCTGTCACTGACTGAATAACATTAAATGCATACGCACAACTCATCAGCATCCGATCCAAAGTCATTCCACTTTTCAAAGCCTGAATATTTATTGCATGTTTCATTCAATTCTTTATAATGTCACCTTTCATGAAAAACATTTTTTTTTCGGGGATCAATAATAAGAACTACAGTTTTTGAATTTTCATCTATGTCATTCATGAAAATGAGTAAATACAATCTATAAGTAAAGATATACTTTCTTCGAAAAGCCTAGTCTTTTTGTTGGGTGCACATGTCTCCGGAACAGCTTCAGAAGACATAATCTGTCTACTTTCGGATCGGGATCATACTTCGCAATGCTGGATTTCCTTTCTCATTTGATGAGGTCTTGCGCCAAATAGTGTGACAACTGGTTTCTCTCAACATGCCTTGCATCCAAAGTCATTCCGCCTTTCAAAGCCTGAATATTTATTGCATGTCTGATGACATGATTCTTAAATGATCGATATTCTCTTGTGAGATCGATTGAAAAATCTGTTCTAGTGAATTTCAGTCCAATAAACCACATAGAACATATTGTGTTAGGTTCTGTCTGGGACTTCAGCATTGAGTAGCTTTCCGGATGGATGTGTGCAAGGGTTATATACGGATTTCTTCCCAGGTATCCTGAAAATATACAAAAGTTATTAACAAACATTAGGAAATAGTTATGAAGATTGAGACAATTTGCAACTCATGAATGAAATGAAGGCATAACTAGGCAAAGAACATCCCAGCCATTAACAGAAGTGTGAAGATCTACTGTCGTTGTATACCGAATAACATCTTCATCATCTACGAAACACGGACGAATCAATATTTCTTTCACAGGATTGCATCATTTCAAATCGATGACAACCTAGCTCAGATCATGAAAACACTTTCTCAGTTGCAATTCGCTCATCATTTTTATCTATATTAGAGCCATGCACGGAGAAAACTCGAGTCTGGCATTCAAAGGTTCACAATATATAAATATCTGATGATCTTCAACCGAGTTATAAAGTAATAATATAAAACAAAAGAATTAGTTCCTTACCTACAAGAATCCTTGCTTTGCTTTCAACTAATCCGCACCACTCCAAATGATCTCTTGTATTATCTGCCTTCACTAGTAGTACAATAAAATGCTTGTATCTTCTGAAAAATGCTGGCTTTTCAAATAACTTGTCCCAACTGCTCTTCCCAAGCATAATATCATGAGTAATAGATAAGCCATTCATGAACTTTCTGATCATTATTGTCCTTGTGGAAAGGTTCACATTAAATGTTGAATTTTGTTGGGGATAAGCAGGTGTGATAATCGGCATCAAGTGATAACCATCTTGAATGTTTACCCTAGAATCCCACACAGGAAATCCAAGATCAACTTTAGATGGTTGCTTCAGTAAAACAGGATGTGGCCACTTCCACATTGAGCAAAATTGGAAAAACTTATGCACCAATGTCGAAGGTGCCGCATTGGGATGTAGCTGGCAAGTTTTTGCTACTAGCATAGCCCAGGAAACACCCCCCAAATATCCTAGAACGTTACTGTAAATGCCCTGACCTAAAACAAAAAAAAATGATATTGAAATTATATTACAGAAAAAAACATTCAATGAGTTTAAAGGCGGAAATAAATCTCGATTAAAAAAAGACAAATCAATCGAGAAGGCTTCGAAAAATATGGAGACATTTTTTCAATCCTCCAGTCTTTAACAATGTTTACTTAATAACTAGGAAAATACTCACGTTTTGCCCATAGTTTAACAGCTCTTAACGCAAATCTGAAGTTTTCTTTGTTTGGAACTAGCCTCAAAATCTCATCGTTCACTCGACAACCATTCAAACTTCGTACACACTTGTCTTCTAATTGTTTCAATAACATATCATCACGTAAATCCATTGAATCTGGAATCTCGTCCAGTGATAGTCTTGCGAATAACATATCAATCTCAATCCCATCAAACTTCATTTTGATCACCGGCACGTAAGCTTCTTTCACTGCCTGAAAAAAAGAAAAAGTTGGTCAAAACAAATCGTTTCAGTTTATCCGATCAGTTCAATAAAAGAAACAAATGGTTATGATTCATTCGATTAGGTCAATTTACTTACCCTGAGGTCTGCTACTTCAGGTTGTTCCTTGAGAAGTTCATAAAAAGACGAAAAGAATTCAACTCTGCTAATGTGTCTAGGAGCAACACAGAGTGCATCGATATCTGCACCTTTACCGTGAACACCAAGACTGTAACTACCAAATGTGTAAAGTTGTCCCCCCAATTGTTCTGCCACACTTTCAGTCATATTACGTTTCATGGAAACTTCTTTGATCCATTGCCTGACTAGGTTTTGTAATTTTCCTAAAATATGCATGCGTTGATTAAGTTCTTGTTCAGATTCAAAAACATCAAACGTTTTCAATAATTCCTCTAGTTCTTTCGTCTTAATTAAATCTGACAGTTTAGGACCAGCAACTGATATTGCAGATGTCATCCCCAGAGTTGTGGACTTTTCATCATTTCGCTGTGAATTATTCCCTTTGTTTTGTAGAGTTGACATATTGAATAAATGATGATTAGAGTTCAATACACAATACAACAGATACAGTATCTACAGATTATTCAAATAAACACTCCAGACTATTCAAAACACTGACAAGACTATAATGTTCAATTATCGAACACTCTTTTATATATGACTCAAAATTACCTGAAGTCATTAGACCATTAGCAAAACTTTTACTACCTGATCATTTACTCAAATATACCTATTTCTAGGAAACTAACAAAAGTATTTTATTACCTGTCTATTTTTGTTTATTTTCAATGGGGATTTCAAAAACGTCACATGTTATTGAGTTGACTGGTATTTTCTCACGTTGAAAATCAAAATATTCAGGAAAAATCAATGTACCCGTATCCAACAAATCACCTGGGTACAAAAATTTACGAGCAGAACATTTGAAAAATATATCCGACAGATGAAAACTCTCTTAACCTATTTGTTCGACTAATAGAGGTTAATTCTCAAAAGCACTGAAGCCACTGTTCATAAATGGAGATGAATTATAAATGGAAAACTATAGACTCATTTACAACATTGCAAAAATATTTGAAAAAATCATTGAAATCAAAATGTATAGGTTATGTACAAAAATTATTTCAATTTCCGATTATCTATCAATATCGCTTTAGAGATGGAAAATCAACGGATGATGCCATTCTCCAACTAAAACCTATGTGTACAGTTAATTAGATACAAGCAACCCATCGCTTCGTATATTTGTTGATCTTCATGAAGCTTTCGATACTGTGAATCATATAAATTACTACAAAAATTGAAAAACTATGGCATGAGAGGAAAAATGCACAAAATTTTGAAGAGTTATTGATCACATCGTGACCAAAGGTTCTGTATTCGCAAGACTTTGAGAGAACCAATAACGGTTAAATATGAAGTAGCACAAGGAACGGTATTGGGCCCTCTCTGCTCTACTACGCCTTCGTCCGTCGTCATTATAGGCTGGGGCATTATAGGCTGGGACATTATAGGCTGGGGCGGTATAAATGAAAATCTCGCGGAAGACTTGAATATAATTCACAGATGATTCTTAATAAAATAAAATTCACTTCAAATATGTGGCACATCAACTTAATACCATGAGTAAATATAATTTGTTAAGCATATCACGCTGCGATAAAAGAAATACCATCGTTATTGTAATCATCTGGGTATGAATATATTTCGAAACGACCAATTCGAGGAAACAAAAAAAAAGGACTGGATCGGCATGAGTAGATTTGAATAGTAGGAATAAGTAGTAGGATTTCATCAAAGTAAGGTTCTTGAAAAACAACAATTTGAATTATTTGCCCGCATAAATTGTAAATGCAACCTAAAACATATTTACAAGTGTGAATCAAAAATAATAAAAAACAGAAATAAAAATTCAATGTTTGGTAATGAACCACTGTTGACTACTGCAGGCTGCTGCTGGCGCGATTTTTGGTACATTTCGTTGATTTCCTCAAATTGGGAGTGGCTCTGCTGTACAGAGAGCTGATCACCAAACAGAAACCATGGTCTTTTTTGGTGTGCTTTCGCCTTTGAGAAGTGCATGGATGACTCATTGGTGTCCAAGCACTGTCCTAAACATCTCCTGTTGTCGTAAAGGAACCAACTTTTCATCACATGTGATGATCCGATCCAAAAAAGGATCGTTTTGGTTGCGCAAAAGCAAAGAAGGATTTACCTCGAAACATGACAATTCCTGTCGATCGTTCAGATCGGAATATCACGTAATTCATTTGAAAAATCAATACTTCCGACATTAAGCACATCTCTAAAGGATGGATATGATCCTACCTCAGAACTTCTCGTTTGCGCTGGTCGCAGCGCTGATGTCAACCCCCAAGCGAAGCAGAACTTGTCTTCATTCCTCACGTTAATAACTTCCCTGTTTAAAGCGATGTATCCTGGAAGTTTGATGTACCAAAATTCACTGAGAGGGCTATATTTGTTAATATTAATACACGCATTTTTTACCAGAGTCCAATCTGTGAAAATATTAGTCATTTCAATCACGTAAATATTCACATCTTTCGCTAACACCGTAGCGACAAATGTATAACTCCTCAAGGTCGTTGAATTGATCAATAATTTGATTTTTGCTGTCGAAAGACTTCACCTCTCAAACACTTCTAATTTATTTATTTATTTTTATTGATTTCTTTCTAGATATCCTAAAAATATACGAAATTATCATTAACATTAGGAAAATACTGAATCCATTCAAAAATTTCCTCTCAATTCATGATTGTATTCGTTATAGTCATTCAATTTTGGACTGAAAATAAATATTTCATTGTATAATCTGGTTAAAATGACGTAACTGTAAATATGAGAAGTTTCTCAAAACTTTTAGTGCCTTTGATGTTCGAATTTTGTTTTTATTAAAATTTATTAATTCGTCTATTGTTGTTATTGAGTATGGTTGATAAATCCAATTTACCATATGATAATTGATGTTGAACATAAAATTGGTACATCACTAATGATTTTGGAGATTTGTCTTTCTTCTATAGATACTTTCACGGGAAGTATTCAAGTAACATGGCACATTTGATTCCACCAAGAGCGGTACATATCAGAAATACGCGACGGACTGTGGCTGCTCATCGTTTTGAGGTTCAACTCAGTACACCTCGAACTTTACTGTTCAAGAACTCTTTCAAATGGATTTAATCTCCAGCGATTCAAATCCAATGTGAATCGCTACTTTCGCACAGGCACCGCTCTGAGTCGCCTTAAGGATTTTTCCGTAGTGCTTGTGTTTTGTCCTTAAAATGAGGCATGTAATACATGCATAACATTTCTACTGGACTTTCCAATAAAATATGTTTATTATGCACTGTATTATAATAGAGGTGAATTGACCAGAGAATTGGTGATCGACACACAAAACTTATCTGAATGTTATGCAAAATATGATCTCCGAAAATCTCCATTTTCATAAGTATCCCAGCTTCATCATCATCATAAAGAAATCGAGCTAGAATCATGCATAGAAGGGCTTCCACGGCCTGGAAGGCATTTACTAGACAATCTTATTCATATTTGCATAGAGGGCATCTCGGTAGCCATGTTCCCTAATGCCCTTTTGTATCCCCTGGGGTTTTTGCAAGACTTCCCCCTATTGGATCCAAGAAATAGGGTGATGGAAAATCATTTCTATATATATTTGTTATGCATTGCTAGATGTGGACATTGGTCGAAGCAGTATAATATTTCAATATATTTCAGTTCGGTATATCCATGCAAAAAAGGTACATCTAAATAAAATTTTACAGAATGGTCGACTTATATCGAAATGAATGTTGTAAATGCAATATCCAGCAGATACATCGAAATATTTCAATTTCATGTGGGATCCTACGTCTTTGCACTACGTCTACATTTGATAGGATGGAGTCGTTCTTGGTATATATAGAATTTTCAGGACGAATTCAGTACCTAATGCCAGTAAACTTAGTGCTTCGTAATAAACAGAAAGCATGTTCAGTGATGTACGGGAAAATTTGAAATCACATACATTTGCTTTGCCAAGACTTTCTGTAAAATATAAGTTGGTAATTATATGATAATATTGAATTTATATACAGTGCATTTCTTTAATGTCCCCCTTCTTTATTTTTTGAACAGGTCCACCAAAAATTTAAATAAGGGATAATGAAATTAAGATGAATACTTCATTTTGAAGTGAAATTGACAGATACAACTTTCAAGATGGCGACTGGGAGCCATCTGGGAAAAAA